CTCTCTCTCTCTCTCTCTCTCTCCCGCCAACCTGTCCAGTATCCCCCCCCCTCTCCCATCTTTCTCTGCCTGTATCTGTCTCTCTCTCCCTTTTTCGCCCTCTGTCTGTCTGTCTGCCTGTCTGTCTTTCAGTAAGACGGGATGAGTACTCACTCAGAATGAAAGATCTTGACAAGAAGTTTCAAAATAAGAATGTATACTGTATATTGAACTGGACACCACATGGCAAGAAGCAAAAGAAAAAGAGAAAGGCTGATAGTCTTTAAATTTGAACAGTGCAATGAAAGAGACGAGAATAAAACAGCCAATAAAGAGTGCATTTTTAAGATGCAATATGATCTGGATCGTTATTCTAGGGCCTTGACGAAACCTCATCTGCTGTATGGTGGATTGTGAAATAAAACCCCTAGTAAAACACAACGGAGTTAGAACGTCTAAGTCAGGGCAATTGAAGAGAAACCACGCCTTTGAAGAAATAACAGATTATATTACGAGAAAGCAGTGCTTTTTAAATTTATGAATAGAGGGAATTTGAAGAGAACATCTTTCACTATAGTACTATGGGAACGTTTTGAGTGTTAGTCGTTTGTGTGTGTGAGAGTTATTTTGTTGTCTGCTTTGCGGGAAGGGGGGGGGGGGGTGTCGATCAATCAATTGCCAAAACCAGTTTTGGATTCTGAGAAATTCAAAAGAGGTATTGGTAATGGTAGCTAACTTGTTTCATGATATCAGAGGATCTTATTAACATAAATTTTATAGTCTTTTTGAGACCCAGCTATCATTCCGCCCTTTCTCATCTTTCTTTCATCCTCTGTATATATTGGTCTCTTACTCTTGACCCCGTTCTCTCTTTGTTGTTTTGTAGATATATTTATTCTTTTTCTTTCATTACATTACTCACACATGCGTACTCAAACATACATCTGCACTTCCATACAAAAACAGACACATGCACAAAAAGACACACACACACAAACACACATACACACACACACACACACATACACACACACACACACACACACACACACACACACACACACACTCAAACACGTACAGAATCATACATACACGGATATATGATAAAGTCTGAATTAATAATTTTGAAATTGCTGCCACGGATTTGCTTCTGCTATGGTGAAACTATTCATATCTTATGCGACATCGGAAGACAAGACACAATGAGACGCGCTGTTTCGATCCAAGATCACGACATTTGTTTAGTCACCCATAGCAGTCAATATTGAGTCATTAAAATTATCATATCAATCGTATAAACAGTTCTGAAACATCAGCTGTTAGTGCTCAAAAAGAAATGCGGGACACATGATCAGGGGATGCTGTAAGTAGGAGTTTCTGTTACTGTACAAAGAAACATGCACTACAACTCTACTCATCACAATTCACAAAGCATTCCGACTCTTGAGGAAGAGAAGGGACTTGGTCGTTTCTGGATTGAAGGAACACGGAGGAGGTAAGACGTTAAGACGTTGTAGTAGTTTCATACTTGACTACACAGCCCTTGACCGTGGTCCGAATCGTTGGACGAGGTGTCCTGTGACGAGGTGAGAGAGTAATTAGCCGAGTCCCTTCTTCCTATTTCCGCCTTCTTCCCTACCACTACCTGCACGGGCCGGGGGTGAGAGCAGGGGCGGGGGTGGTCGCTCTTACCACCTACCATGTCATGATGAGGATGATGATTCTGATGATGATGCTGATGATGATAATCCTCCTTGCGTTGGCCTGCTCCGCCGCCGCTGCTGCTGTTGCTGCGGATCCGGCCCAGTTGAATGTCTTCCAACAACGGCGGCAGGCTCAGCTCGGAGGAGTCCACTGTTGTGTTGGCGAAGCTACTCCTGTGACCCTCGTCACTGCTGCTCAGGGAGACGTTGTGTTTCTTTCTTGAAAACGCCGAGGAGGAGGAGGAGGATGAGGAGGAGGAGGGGGCGGTGTTGTTAGCGATATCCGGAGGTCTGTGGCTGGCGCTAGGGAAGAGGCTAGCGTCCCTCCCATAGATCACCTCGCCGTGTGGATCTCCAGGCAGAGAATTATCCTCCAGAACAGCAGGGTGCTGGAGTCTGTTGTTATAGTCTACTTGTCCGAGAGCCTCGTCGGACAGCGCTATACAGCGCCGCTTCTCGGCGTCGTTCAGTTCCGCCTCCTGCATGGGATTCGGAGGGGGTGGGGATGGGGGGTCCGCGTAGTTGTTGTAGTGCTCCAGCATGTTCTTCTCGCGTTCCTTGAAGTTGCTGGCGGCGATGGACGACTCTCGCACTTTGTCACGGAAGGAAGACATGAGAGTTGGAAGAGGTTCTGAAGGGTTAGGGAGAGGAACAGGGTCGTCGGGACTTGCTGTGAGATTGTTGGCACTCGCGTAATACTCCCCGCACTTGTTCCTTATACTGTTCCTGTACTCCCTGGACATCGTATTCTCCGGAGCGCCGGAGTTTCTCCTCTTCACCACCTCCTGACTAGAATCTTCCGTCTGAAAGTTTAGCGGCGGTGTAATACTGTGCACGTCTGCGGTCACGTTCACGTGGTTGTTGTCCTCGCCCCTGTGACCGTAAGTCACGTGGCGTGGCAGGCTGCTCGTCTGTCTTTCGTTTTCACCAGAGCCCTTACTGCGGACAGACTCGTCGAAAGTCACCCTCTGACCGCCCAGCCGGCGGTGCCGAGGTCTCCGGAAGTGACCTGAGGGATCGGGTAAGGGGTTACCGTCCAAGTCCAGCACCACGTCCACGTTGTTGCCTATGTCGGACTCGTCGGTGCCTACGTCAGAGGCACTCTGCTCCTCGTTAGCCCCCACACCTATGGGCAGCGGGTCCGAGTATCTCTGAACACTCTCCCGCCCTGGGGCCAGACGCTTGTTCCGAATGAAATGGGCAACATCAAGCGTCTCGCCTTGTCCCGTCTGCGAACTCCTGACAGAGGCGCTGTCTTCGCTACCTCCTCCCCCTCCTCCCCCGCCTCCTCGCGGGGGCTGTTTCAGGGGCACGTAATCCAGAATGCGGAACTGCCATTGTTGTTTGATGGTAAGGCCGAACCAGAGGGCGACCCAGAGCACCATGTAGCACACCTCGCAGACAACTCCAGACAGGAGAAGTTGGTCGTCTGTGAGTCTCATCAGAGAGACCAGGTCATAGAGTAGTGGCCCCTTACATACGGCAAACACGATGAGAGCAGCCATGGCGCAGACGTGAGCGACGTAGCCTTGGCAACCGTTGTTTACTACCACCGTCTGCTTGACGTAGCTTTCCGGGTTGTGATGTCGCTCCACAATCTTGAACTTTTCATGGAAGTAGTGAGACCCGTACTCAAACACAGAGGTGGTGGACACCATGAGAATCAAACTGCCGAAAAGATACAAGATGAGATCCACAGAGCAGGCAATGGACAGAGTCACGTTTGGGTACTTCTTGCGGTTGTAACACACGCAGTACAAAATGGAGAAGCAATTGAAACTGAAAATAGAGTTGATGACCATGGCCAAAAGCTGTAGAGCAAAGACCAGTGTGAGTGCCTTGTTGGTGAACCAGAAGACGGAGGCATATCTCACAAGAAAACACGTCAGGGCGAAGCAGAAGTTGGCGAAGGCGATGCTCACTGTGACCTGGTCGCCCTTCCAATCAACGTGCGCGCGTGGCGTGGGGAGGAATACGTGTGTGGCGTTGGAGAACTCAGAGATATTCACAATACTGCGCACGTCACTCATGAATGCTCTTTCCGGCGGGAACAGAAAATCCAGCTGGCTTAGCCATGATGTATCTGTGGGCAAAGAGAAAGGCAGACATTATTTTTTTTTTTCGGGAAGATTGTTGGATTGTTATTATTGTATGTTTTACCCTCCCATTGACACACTCCAGATAATTCAGGAGACGAGATTTTCATTTTCTAGAAATTAATACTGTAATGGTAGGATGTGATGGGTTTTAATTCCATGTTAATAATATAAGATTAAAAAGCGAAAAGTTTGGATACAAAGCCTAGTTCCAATAGGACCGAGCCAAGGGGCAAAACTTTCGAAACAAGAACGCTCAGGAAGAGATTAAAACCAGAGCCATTCGCACTTTCTATTGTAATAAATGTAATAACTGAGTTATCGTCGGTGTCTGACTGTAACTCTGTATCCACCAGATCAGGTCAAACACTTTTTGTGAGTCTCAAATTATGTTATAAAGATAATACCCAGCACACATTTTGGGCAATTCTAGTAGATAATCAGAAACAATTTAACTACGTTTTTTCCACATTTCTGAAAGCCAGTGTCAATGCACATACACTATTAGAGTCAGGCATTGCATGGCACTGAAACACCACAACTACTAACAGAGAATACAAGTGGTGCATAAAGGCCCTGTGGGTCGCTATGATTTTAAAAAGCCATTTAGAAGTGAAGGCGGCTTAACCTGTTTGCAATACGAACTGTGAATCGACACAGCTTTGGTGTTCCCAGAGCCACGGAGCGAGCACGAATCTGTCCCTGTGGCGATGGTGTGACTGAAGTTTTAAATATCTATGTATTATATCACGTACTTTAGCACCCCACTCACTCACCCCCCCCAAACCCCCCCCCCCCCCACAACAACAACCCCCCAACAAAAAACAAAAAACAGCAACAACAAAAACAAAACAACAACAAACAAACAAAAAACACCAAACAACAAACAAACAAAACAAACAAAAACAAAACAAAAACGAACAAAAACACTTAAAATTTCCACTGAAGCAAAAAACACTCGTTCTAATATTTATCATTTCATCCGCTTAGAGTTTTACCGTTGACCTGCATAGAGTTTTTGTTTGTCTGGATCAAAGGAATAGCCACATTTTGCTATTCATTGGTAAACAAAGAACAGGACCGGAGGAAAAACTACTTGCGTCAACATCCAGTCACCATACATTACTTGATACAATTTTGAAATGGGAATAAATCAGCCCCTTCTCTCCCCCTTCCCCCTCACATATCCCATAGTACATGAGAGCACCAGTCGACTGTCCTCTCGAACATGGCACGTTCGACTCGTGGCCTTTGAGATAAGTGCACGCTATAGGAAGACAGATCTGATCACGAAAGAGACAGGAGTTTTGTTTACTCACGCGTACGTGCGCGTGTTTGTGGTCGTTCGGGTGTACGCTCGTGAGCAAAGAGGCAGAGGAAATAGAAAAACGTGGGGTAGCAAAGAGGGAGAGGAAATAGAACAGCGTGAGTGTAGCAAAAAGGGCGGTCCCTGGAGATGGGGGTATTGAATGGCTTGGATATTCACGCTCAGCCGTCTTCGAGTGAGTAACTTCTTTTGTTTACAGGAGAGATTTTCTGAACCCTCACTGTCTACACAAAACGAATTGCCATGATTCATCCCCTCTAAGGGAAGGAGGGAAGAAGTGTAGGGGAGGGGGGGGGGAGACGACCCCCACCCCACCCCACCCCACCCCACCCGGCCACCCCCTTTTTACCTTTCGTATTTTCGTGCCCGCCCGTTCTCAGCCTACTTCTTGCCTTTCATCCTGAGATAGACGAGTAAGTCGAGAAGTGGAATGCACGTGTTCGCCACTCGCTGCCATTCATCACTCTCAAACAGAAACTCTAGTAGGTGGTTTAAAAATATCAACGGTTGCTCAAATTTCCCCGGTGGTACGATGGTACCTGAGAGAGACAGCAGGGACTGCTATACCGTAGTCTACTACTCTGCCCCAGGCGTCGGTTCAGCGATGTGTGGACTTGGCTCTAATGTCAGATCCTCGTTGGTCAAATTGGCCCGATTTGCATGATCAGATCGGATCGGGACATGTTTGGAAATGGCGCCCGACAGCGGGCACTATATCGCGACCCCAGTGGTTTCTTGTCGTATCTCTATTTTTATTAACAGTGAAAACAGTTCATAACAAAGAGTGAGCTTAAAAAGAAGTCACATTTTCACTGTTAAAAAATGGAGATGCGACAAGAAAGCACGGAGGTCGCGATATGATGTTAGGGCCTATCACATTCCGCACGCAAATTAAAACATCTGACCCCGCAAAGTCAAGTGGTATGTTGTATGTTGGCCTCGACTGGCCACGAGTTTCGTCAAATGGACCCTATCGAGACCTGGAAAACTAAACGTATTATACATTTGGAGGATTTTATAAAACTGCATCAAAATGGCCGTTCCTCACCTTCCATGAACAAAAATCTGGCCGCCCTCAAAGGTATCAAACCATATCAAATAGATTTTGATGAAACTTTCGGCAGTGCGCACTGGGTATAAAGATCGGAGGAAACGCACGATGTGTCCGATGGGGAAAGACGGGCGCCGAGAAAAGCATTACGTTTTCGTCTCAGACATAACAGTAACACGAAGTTTATTGTGGTGCAAACAGAATGGTAAAGATAGGAGAAAGTCATTGACACGAAGCTTTGCGAGAACTTAGAGAAGCATTAGAAATGAGCGTACGAGTTTAGAGCAAAACACAGGGTGAAGATGGCATTCCGGAGGAGCATGTTTCGCTGACATGGAGAATGCTCAATAGTAAGGTCTGAAAATAAACATACCCACCCCGTCCCCTCTCTCTTTCTCTCTCTCTCCCCCACTCTCTCTCTCTCTCCCCCCCTCTCTCTGTCTCTCTCTATCTCTCTCTGTCTCTCTCTCTCTCTCTCTCTTACCAACTCTCTCCCTCACTCTCTTTCTCTTGCTCACTTCCCCCATCGTCTCTCTCTCCCCCCCTCTCTCTCTCTCTTGCTCTCTCTCTCCTCTCTCTCTCTTGCTCTCTCTCTCCTCTCTCTCTCCTCTCTCTCTCTCTCTTGCTCTCACTCTCCTCTCTCTCTCTCTCTCTCTCTCTCTCTCTCTCTCTCTCTCCCTCTCTCTCTCTCCCTCTCTCTCAGTGTCGCTGTCTCTGTCTGTCTGTTCTGTATGTCTGTCTCTCTCGGTCTCTCTCTCACACACACTCTCTCTCTCTATCTCTCTCTCTCTCTCTCTCTCTCTCTCTCTCTCTCTCTCTCTCTCTCTTTCTCTCTCTGTTTCTCACTCCCAGGCAGACAAACTGACACCCCCCCCCCCTATTTCCCCTTTCTTTTATAAACATACACACTCATACTCTCTTTCCGTCCTCCCCTCTCCCTCATCCCCGTGCACGCCCCCTCCCCTCCAGAAAAAAGAAGAACAGCGGTTCGGTTCGTTGTCAGGAAGAGTAATCATCAGCATGTTGGTCTGTGAGGCGACCCGGGAAAACAATCCTATTGGTTTCTGCCAAACCCACGTCACGATGAAGGTTGTCTGCGCGAAAGTACACAAACACACTCGTGGAAAATGGGAAATCAAATCTCCTCATTTGTTGAAGAAAATTACACATCACGTACCAGTAATGGGAAAGGACACACCTGGACTTTCTGCCCTGATCGTGTTAATATGTCTGGTCCGACTTCGACACGCATCATCTCAGTGTGTGCCATGACGATGACTGATTGTTTAAGTGGGCGTGCAGGCACGTTAAGGGTTAATTGTCTAAGAAATATGCGTGTATTATATCTGTGGCCTGTTAATTGTCATAAAACTGTGCGCATGTTTTATCAGCTGCATGCTGATTCTGTGCGTGTGTTTTATCTGCTGCAATTATTGTCATTGCACTGTGCATGTATTTAATATTATGTTGCATGTAAATTGTAATACAACTATGCGTGCATTTAATCTGTTGCAAGATAATTATTATGAAATTGTGCGCGTATTTCAACAGTTCCCAGTTGATCTTTAAAAAAACAACAACTGCAAGTACTTTATCTGTTGGGTGTTTACTGTCATGCAACTGTCTGGGTATTTTATCTGCTGCACGAGCATTGTATTACCTTGCGTTGCTAGTCGTTTAGATACGCCTTATGTTTATTGCAAGCCCCCTACTTGCCGTCTTCCTGTTGCCACACAAACACGTCTGAGTGCGACGTACGGATGGCGCCCACAATAAATGATTAACCACCAATTACCCAAAGGCTGTGGTAATCACACAAAGTAAACCGGACACCGGACAACTAAACATTAACTGTGGGCAGATTCTGGTCGGAATTCGGTAATTCGGAATACTCATAAATTCGAACTCGTCGAATAGGCCAGAGGGTCGAATCCGAACAAAAATCAAACTTGCAGGGTGAAGCATTGTTTTAAAGTGTCTCTTTTCAATTTTGTTTTTATTCATAGTCTAAGATGTATTTGTATATATAATCTTAATTACACAAGAATTCTTTTAAAATGCTGAATAAATGTAATGAATATGCACAAGATCGGTTATTTTCGCCAAAATACAACAGCTCGTCATCACATCGAACTAATATCTAGTTGAAATCAATAACAGTGAAATGAATTGTTCTGAATAATCTGAAATCTGACGTCCTGCTATTCCGATGGTCAAGGAATATTATTTCCCTAGGCCCATTTCAACGGGATTGGTTATTGCGTTAATCTCAAATCAAATTCCGAATTCACACCTGTCGAATTTGTGTCTTGAAAAGTTCGGATTTGCGAATCTTTAAATTCGAGGATCCGTTCCATGCTTATAACTAAACATGATGCATCTGGTAATCCTAGCACGGACCACGGACCAATCTCCCACTCTCTCTCGGGAGGGCTCACCGGGTAACCACCGGCTGCCGCCTCCAGAGCAATGCCACCGCCGGGATGCTCTGACCACCTGACCTTTCTGTAAGTAAACACGCCCTGGGTGCGAATGTGGCCGGAGCAAATTGCTTGTCGATGCCCTCGCACGCTGGCGGCACGGCCTGGGACCAGAACGTTTGTTGTCTC